AATAATTTTTCTAAAAAAAAGAAATTCAGTTTCTCTCCAGCCTCACAAGTGTTTGCTATTATCACTTTTTTTTAAAAAAACACTTATTTATTTAAAAGTCAGAGTTCCACAGAAAGAAAAGGAAAGGCAGAGAGAGAGAGGTCTTCATCCACTGGTTCACTTCCCAGTTGGTTGCAACTCTGGAGCTGCGCCGTTCAGGAGCCAGGAGCTAGGTGCCAGGAGCTTCTTCCTGGTCTCCCACACTGGAGTAGGGGCCCAAGGACTTGGGCCATCTTCTACTGCTTTCCCAGGCCATAACAGAGAGCTGGATTGGAAGTGGAGCAACTGGGACTTGAACCATCGCCCATATGGGATGTTGGCACTGCAGGAGGCAGCTTTACTTGCTGTGCCACAGCCCTGACCCTCCTTGATTTACTTTTAATCTGAAAATACATCAATACCATCAAGTAAACATTTAGAGTCTTTAATTCAGAATAGATTAAAGGGGAGAATGATTAAATTTCATATTATTTTAAAATAAACTGTATTATAAACACAGTATGAATACGTTCCAAAAGTGAAAAGTAATTCATGTTTTTTAAATAAAATGAAATCAGAATTTCTTTTTTATTTTAGTCCAGTTTAGGTCTTTCAGAAGCATTTTTGGGGGAACAGACGTTCTGCTGAATGGTTAAGATGCTAGTTGGGATGCCTGCATCCCCTTCAGAGTCCCTGGGTTTGAGTTCCAGCTCCAGTCTGGATTCTAGCTTCCTGCTAAGACACATCCTGGAAGGCAGCAAGTGATGACTCAAGAGATTGGATCCCTGCCTTGCACATGGAAGACCTGGACTGAGTTCCCTGCTCCCTGCTTCGGCTTAGCCCAGGCCAGCCACTGCAGGCATTTGAGGAATGCACCAGCAGAAGGCAGATCTCTCTATGTCTGTCTTTTTGTTTCTCTAACTGACAAACAAATACTTTAAAATTAAAAATTTTAAAAGCCCAACATTTTTAGAGGAATTTTTATGTTCCAAAGTTGGTAGGTTGTTTTGTTTTTGAAATATCCATGCAGGGCCAGCATTGTGTTGTAGTGGGTTTAGCCACTGCCTGTGATGCCAGCATCCTATATGGGCACTGGTTCTAGTCCTGGCTGCTCCTCTTCCAATCTAGCTCTCTGCTGTGGCCTGGGAAAGAAGCAGCAGATGGCCCAAGTGCTTGGGCCCCTGCACACTTGTGGGAGATCCGGAGGACACACCTAGCTCCTAGTTTGAGCCCAGCCCAGCTCCAGCCATTGGGGAGTAAACCAGCAAAAGGAAGATCTCACTCTCTGTCTCTCCCTCTTTCTGTAACTCTGCCTTTCAAATAAATAAAATATATATTTTATATATAAATATTTAAAATAATGGATATTATAAATTATTATATATTATATATAAATTTTATATTATAAAATAATGGATATTTAAAATAAATATCCATTCCCCCAGTGACTTTATACAGAGTAAGTTCTGAAAACAAAAAGCCTTTCTCGGGCTCTTCATTTCTCTTATTTATTAATAAGTCTAAGTACAGTATAATTGATGATTATAGTTTTAAGGCCAGAATTTCCAATTTTAAGAAATAAATATTAGTTGAAAAGGCAGTGTGAAGTGCCTCACATTGACTAATTGGTTTCATGTAATAAGTCTTACATTTAATTAAAGATTCATTTTGTGGTTTTGTATAATACTTCATAGGAAGTATTATATCTCATAAAATGAATGAAACCTTTGTTACAATCTCATTCCCTTATAGTTATGAGGAATGCATTTTGTTTCTATTGTGTAGAAATAATAAAATAAGAAACATCAAGAGACTAAATATATGTTCAGTAATTTGGGAACATAATAGGTTACATGTAAATACAATGTGGCAGTGTTTTCTAGTCTGTAGACTTTAGATTTCAAACTTTGTTACATACCAATGTCCTTTTAGTGTCAATATGTAAATTACCAGTGGCGCTATATTATGATTAACTCCAAATTTTCTTTGTAGGTTTGATCCAGACCGGTTTGCAGATGAGTCAGCAATGAAGACTTTCTCCTTGCTTGGATTTTCGGGCACACAGGAATGTCCAGAGTTGAGGTGAATGACAGAGAAAGTAATGCAGAAGGAAGCAATGGCAGATCTTAGAATTTTGATAATCACTGTTGATGACTGTGAGCAACATGTATAAGAGAAGAATAATTTTTCATCTTTAATAATGAGTTAATTTTCTTCCCCACTAGGTTTGCGTATATGGTGAGCACTGTACTTCTGAGTGTGTTGGTGAGGAGGCTGCACCTACTTCCCGTGGAGGGACAAGTTATTGAAACAAAGTATGAACTGGTAACGTCATCAAGGGAAGAAGCTTGGATCACTGTCTCAAAGAGATACTAAACTTTTATGCATTTAAAATCTTTGTTAAATAGAATGAGGAAAATAACCATTTAGAAAATTTGTATTGAGTCCTTTCATAAACCAAGAATCATTTTGTAATATAAACACCTATTAGTACTTAATTATGTAAATTTGATTTTTATATATTAGTTTGTCTTAATTGCATGATAAACATTTATAATGTCTATACCAATATATTGAAAATTTTAGTAGAAGCATTTACTTTTAATTTTTCATCCCTTTTTATGCTATTATTTTCATCTTCTTTTTCCTAGTTTCATCTCTAAAATGAATGTCTTTACTTTTTTAATGGAGTGGAACAATTAAGACCCCAGTTGGGACGCCCATATCCCGTATTGCAATGCTTAGATTCACATTCTGACTCCACTGCTGATGCCAGCTTCTTGCTAATATTCACCCTCAGAGGCAACGGGTGATGGCTCAGGTCATTAGGTCCCTGCCACTTACATAGGAAACCTGGATTGAGTTCTGGACTCCCAGTTTTTGACTGGCTTCACTTTGGCCAGACAGGGAAATAAAAGGATGGCAAAAGACATACTTAAGAAGTCTGAGGGGCTGGTGCTGTGGCTTAGCAGGTTAAGCTGCCATCTACAGTGCTGGCATCTCATATGGTTGCTGGTTCAAGTCCTGGCTGTTCCACTTTCAATCACGCTCCTTGCTAACGCATCTGGGAAAGCAATGGAAGATGGCCTAATTACTTGAAGAAGCTCGTGGCTCCTGGCTTCGGCCTGGCTCAGCCCTGGTGGTTGCAGCCATTTGGAAAATGAACCTGTGGATGGAATATCTCTCTGTTTCTATTTCTCCCTCTCTCTTTGTAACTCTGACTTTCAAATAAACAAATAAATCTTTTTTAAAAAAAGATACAATAAACAGCTTTTGTAGGATGAAATGACCAGTACGCTTTTAGAAAAGATGTTTAATTGGGTCTGGCACTGTAGCACAGTGGGTTAAGCTCGCTCTCTCTTTCTCTCTGTAACTGACTTTCAAATAAATAAATAAAAAATAAATAAATGAAAAGTGTTTAGGCAAAGAATTATTAGGGCTATTTCAAGAATATTTTAAGTATGTTCAAAGTTAAATTTTAAGCACCAATAATATTTATGTTTGATACTTTATTGATAGCATTGTATTTTAATCCAGTTATTCTTACTATACTATTTATGAAATTTTAAAAAAGATTATTTTATTTATTTGAAAGGCAGAGTTACAGAAAGGGAGAGGCAGTAGTAGCAGAGAAAGAGAGAGAGAGAGAGAGAGAGAGAGATCTTCCATTTTGTTGGTTCCCTCCCCACATGACCTCAACAGCCAGAACTAGGCCAGGATGAAGGCAGGAGCCAGGAGTTTCTTCTAGGTTTCTCACATGGGTGCAGGGGCCAAAGCACTTGAGCTATCCTCTGATGCTTTCCCAGGCACATTAGCAGGGAGCTGGATAGGAAGTAGAGCAGCCAGGACAAAAACCAGCTCCCATATGGGATGCAAGTATTGCAGGCAGCAACTTAACCCATTATGCCATTCCACCAGCCCTCATTATTTATGAATTTAAAAAATTTTTAAACTGAAGGAAATATGAAGGATATTCCCCAAAAGTTCCTGAAAAATGTATATTATGAAAAAAATTGTTCATGGATTTAAAAACTCTCTTGCAGAAAAATAAACTTACTTTTTTATTCAATTTCTCTATGAACTTGTTGAAGTCCTCTGATATGCCAAGTGCAAACAGAAAGGAAAAATATGAGAATTGTTTGCAAGTGAGCCTATTTTTAATACTGCTGAATTTCATTTTTAGTTTTAGTTTTTAGTTTCAAGAATCTACCCTAGTTATTTCATGCTATGTTTATGGTTATGGTTAACTGGCTTACATTTTAGACATAAGTATGCCCAGTTAACATAGAACTTGACTAATGTGATGCAGACTTTATTTCTGAAGAAATAATTTATAGCGTAATTAAATGTCAGCACTTTAAGTGAAATTTTTTTCTTAGTTATATTTTCATGTTTCTAAAAAAGCCCATTGTTAAATCTGTCCCTTTGCACCTATCATTTTATTTTCTTTTTAATGTATATTTTCACCTGCTGAAGGCAGACTGAAGGTGGGGAGGTAGAAAGAGAAAGAGAGCTCCTCCAGGTCTCCCATGTGGGTCGCAGGGGCCCAAGTACTTGAGCCATCATCTGCTGCCTCCCAGTGTGCATTTAGCAAGAAGCTTTGTGGGGACTGGAACCCAGCAGTGCAATGTGAGTTAATTCAGGTGTCCCAAGTGGCAGTTTAACCCGCGGCACCAAACCTCCACCCACGCTCTGTCATTTTCTATGGTTTTATATATGTAGAGCATCCAACCCCTGGCTTGGATTCCTGCCACCCACATGGGAGATCTGATGGAGTTCCTGGCTCTGGCCTAGCCCTAGGCACTGTGGGCATTTAAGGAGTGCACCCATGGATCTCTTCTTCCCATCTGCCTCTTCCTCTTTCTTTCTCTCTGTCTATCCCTCTCACAACTGTCAGTCTGCCTTTCAAATAAATAAACCATGAAAAAAAAAGAATTGTTATTAAAACTTTGTAGGGGTGTTTATAGACTCTGGGGCAAACATTTTAAGATTCTTTCTTGTAACTCTCTTTATTTTTTTCTCTAAGTCCAGAAAAAGCACTGTTAACCTAGTTATGCCTGTGTTCTCATGTGGTTGGCAGATTGAAAACTTCTTCAGAAACAGTTTGAGGTATAAAACCGGGGGTGTCACCAGCAGCATTACAGAGTCGGGTAGGAGTCACTTAGTAGCAATGGAAAGATAACCTGAGAGAGGAATGGATGCCGTTTTCAAGGGCAGACTTCTATCATGTCAAGAAATTGATCATGGTGACCTTCATTTTCTTCTGAGCCGGTACTGTGGCTGTTTGCTACGTTACCACGACTAATGATTAAGGCAGAAGCGGAAAGAGCTGGGAGGCTAGAAGAACAAAGCCGTTACTGTTACTGCTGCAGTCAGAGGAAATCAGTCCAGACGGCTTAGGACGGTGTTGCAGTGGGCCGATGTGAGTGCCCTGCACTGACACAACAGGGATGACACTGACACTGGCAGTAACCTGAAAGTAGAACAGGGGCCGGGGTGAATTTGCTATGAGCCAACTCCTTTATATACAGATCACATTTAGTTCTTAGAGCATAACAGGAGGTTCACTGACCAACTAACAGTTATTCATTCCTGCTAGGAGAATGTAAACAAAGATAACTAAATACAGAATACAAAAAATAAGCATTAAGACCTAAACTTCAGATTATCTTAATCTCTTCCGTGGGGTTTATTGGTAAATTTTAATTATTTTAAAGGAAGGAAATTTTTTTTTCCATTTTCAATTAACTTTATATACAGAAAACCAACTTTATATTAAGCAGAGTTCAACAGTTTGCACAAGAAAACAAAAACAAAAAACTATAGTTTTTTGAGACAAAGGCTGTTGAAAGTCATTGCATTTATTTTTTTTTTTTTAAGATTTATTTTTTATTTATTTGAAAGGCACAGTTAGAGAGAGTGGGAGAGACAGAGAGATCTTCTGCTGGTTTGCTCCCTAGATGGCTGCATGGCCAGGGCTGGACCAGGCCAAAGCCAGGAGCCAGGAGCCAGGAGCTAGTCTACCACATGGGCGGCAGGGCCCCAAGCACTTGGGCCATCTTCTTCTGCTTTCTCACGCCATTAGCAGAGAGCTGGATTGGAAGTGAAGCAGCTAGGATATGAGCCACCATCCATATAGCCTTACCTGTTATACCATAATGCCTGCCCCAAGGACAGAAATTTTTAAAAGGAAAAGGAAGGAACTGGCTCTGTGACTTAGTAAGCTCATTCGTGTCCCAGGTGCTCTTCTGATCCAGCTCTTCACCATGGCCCGGGAAAGCAGTGGAAGATGGCCTAAGTGTTTGGGCCCCTGTGTCCACGTGGGAAACCTGGAGTAGGCATTGGCTCCTGGCTTTGGATTGGCCCAGGTCCAGCCATTATGCCCATTTAGAGAGTGAACCAGCAAATGGGAGACCTTTCTCTCTGTCTCTCCCTCTCTCTCTCTGTAATTCTGCCTCTCAAATAAATAAAATATTTTTTTAAAAAAAGAAAAAAAATGGCGTTTGGCCTAGTGTCTGTGATGCCCGTGTCCCATATCTGCGTGCTTGGGCCTGGTACCAGCCTGCACAGCGTCTTTCTAATGCAGAACCTGTGGGGTGGAGGTTCAAGTGATCGAGGTCCTAGCTCTAGCGTCGGCCCAGTTCTGGCTGTTGGAAGCATTTGGGGAGCAAATCAATAAATGAGAGTGCACTCTTTTTCTCTTTCTGTCTCACTTTCTCTCTCCCTGCCTCTCAAATAATAAGGGAGAGAATACTGCCAACCCAACCATGTTGTACACCTGTTTAATGTTTTTCCTATTTCCTATATATTTATTATATTCTTAACAGTATGATCTACTTTACACTTAATAAATGTAAAACATTTTTCTTTGTAACTTCATTTTGTTTTTACTTCACAAGGGCTTCAGTGAATACTTTTTAAAGGAATAAAGCTCTAAAATATGAGTAAATTTTAATTTTAATCTCTGGTTTATAGAATTTTATAAACTGATAATTGTAAAACTTGAGTTGTGGGCCACTTAATAAAATGTCCAGGCAATAGACAGGTGAGTTGTGACATTTCTTCAGTTCCTCTCCCCGTTTAATTGGTCTGCAGTCTGGAGGCTGTCTTTCTTGAGACTGGGAATGAGTCTTGTTATATCATGTGGTAGAATGCCATAAATAAATAAGTTGAGAGTGGTGACCTTAATTTTACCACTATTTGGTAATTGTATTTACATTTAGAATGCTTACAAAGTATTTTAATTTAACCACATGATAGTATGGATTGAAACCTTTTTACTTCACCATTGTAACTATATCATAAATAAAGTAACAAAGTATCTGTTTCCAAAGTAGGCAATCAGCAAATATTTCTGAATAAAGGAATGAAATCTTTATTGGGGTCTTCTGTGTATGTGGAGTAAAGCACTTAGAATTGAAATTGCTTAACAGTGAACAAAAAAGTCCAGATAGTCAACTACTTGTAACAGTACTTTGTGATTTGTTGAGTAGCCTATTACTGGGAGTATTTAAAGTGATGTGCAGTTCTCTTACAGTGATGCTTGCAACACAGTGTTAGGTGTGAACATAGATTAGTAATAGTCTAGTTATACACCGTATCCACCAAAACAGTTGGTAAGCAAGGAGTCACTTATCCCTTCTATATTTTATCCCCAGCTTATCATTGAACCAGGAAATTTTTTTTAAAGATTTATTTATGTATTTGAAAGAGAGAGAAGGGGGGAGAGAGAGAGAGAGAGAGAGAGAGAGAGAGAGAGAGAGAGAGGTCCTCTGTCCAATGGTTCATTCCTCAATTGGTCGCAACAGTGGAAGCTGCGCCGATTCGAAGCCAGGAGTTTCTTCCGGGTCTCCCACGTGGGTGTAGGGTCCCAAGGACTTGGGCCATCTTTCACTGCTTTCCTAGGCCATAGCAAAGAGCTGGATTGGAAGTAGAACAGCTGCGACTTTGAACCGGCACCCTTATGGGATGCCAGCACTGCAAGTGGCGGCTTTACCCACTACGCCACGGCGCCGGCCCCAGGAACTGTTTAAAATAGTTTTTTTGTTTGTTTGTTTGTTTGTTTTTTTTTTTTTAACAGGGTAGTTAAGAGGATTATTTCCTAGTATGTATCTCATGGAAAACTATCCTGTGAGAGATTCTGGAACAAACTTCCTAATCCATATTCGTTTTTAGATTCTCCATACTATATTCTTATTCAGATATTTAGAATACATATTGCCATTGGAAGTGCTGAGAAGTTACCATGGTTAAGCTGAATATTCCAAGTGAATTTGATGAAGGCACCCTTTTCTCCAATAACACCTATAAAAAAATGTTCCATGAAACCGGTGTTTTATTTAAGTAGTGTTTGCTAGTACAAAAAACATTTTGTCAACATGATTTACAGACAAGGAGTTTTAAGAAAGAGCTGTCTTAGCTAGTTTCGTTGTCTGTGCCTGGTCCAGAGATATTCTAGCCTAAGAATGACCTGCAGTCTTAGAAGCAGACCATCTGAATTCACCATTCTCTCCCTTAGCTGTCAGCACAGCACCTTCTACCTCTGCTGACTCTCGCCCAACCATTTCTTTACTTTTCTATTCCTACCCAGGTGGAATCCAGTTGTCAGAAACTTGTACGAGATGCTATGCTGGGCACAGCATTGAGCGAAATAGATAATGGCATCATTTCCATGTTCTGTCTTCTGGACTTTACCTGATGAGAAAGAGCCCCACATTTCATGTCCAAAGCTTTAAAATCCTTCTGTTACCTAGAGCACTCTGGTTCCTAGGTTTGGAACTAACTCAAGGATCCATGAGGTTAGTGTCTCAAAGGAACATAGGAAGTAACTTGTAGCTGACTACATGGCAAAGAACACAGGAGGCTTCAATTCCGGGTAGTGGGGCAAGAAGCAATAAGGAATTGTTGGGGGTCAAACCAATATTTTCATTGTATGAGCAGGATACTTAACTGAGGTAACTTATCAAGGAAAACTGTCAACACTAATGATGATTACAAATACTGGAGAACTTGAAAAAAAGGGTTTTTAATTTGAAAGAGAGATCTCCCACCCTTTGATTCATCCCGTAAATGCTTGGCAACAGCCAGAGTAGGGCCAGACTGAAGCTAGTAGCCAGGAACTCAATTGGGTTTCCTGAACAAGTACCTGAACCACACCTGTTGCCTAGTCATTTGTATGTTTAATATTCATTATTTGTCAAGTTGCAAGGTTGTCAGCTTAAAAGGACTGTGTAGATTATGTGGTTTTTTTAGGAGATGTAGATGCTCACAATTTAAAGTTTTAGAGGGAGAAGTCTTGGTAGGGCTTTTGAGAGAAGATGAGTAGTATAATTAGGATTTCACTTTGAACCTTTCTCATAGACGGTCTTCTCAAAACATGTGCTTAAGTATGCTGCTGTTATATTCACAGGATTTCGTTAGGTTTTCAAGAAAGTGTAGATTCAGGAAGAATTTGAAAGTAATTTTTTAAAATGTTCTTGATACAGAACATTTGAGGGAGATGCAAATGTGTTTTGAATGCTAAATTTACTTAGATTTAAAAATATGTATCTTCAAGCAAAGTTGCCATGACAACCTTTCTTAATGTGTATATAAATTTTATGTCTCCTTGAGATTTTCATCTTTTCCAATATAGGGTCTAATCACAAGATTTGAGCACTGTGATATATTTCTATCTGATGGTGCCCTGCAGAAAGTATATAATTTTGGAAAATACAAACCAAGCATTGGGGCAGTTCTGTAGCATGGTGATCCCACAAAGGTAAATGTCACCTTGTTCTCTTTTTGATAGGAGATTGAAATGACTTCAAAGCCAAGAAGAAATTCATGTAAAACCTGGAATCTCTTCTGTGCTTCTGTTTTATCTAAAGGATTTATAGGATGGCCCTAGAAAGTTTGCTGAATTCCGAACCAAATCTGGTTAGTCCTAAAACTGATCCAGCCTCTGGTATCTTCTAAATCTAATCCTGAGTTGATATCACAGGATGACTCAGAACCACGAGACACCTCTCTACCATGGCACGCATGGGCACAGTGACAAACCCGGGGGCTGCTTCTGGCCTGTGCTGAAGTCCAACAGTTCTAGCGAGATACTTTTACCATACCTCCTTGCATCTTCTTGCCCCTTTTCTCATACCTGTGTCTCTCAAACTTCATTTTGCCTGTTAGGGACCAGGAGAAGAGGAGCAGGATTCTGGAGACCCACAGTTTAAGAGAAAAGCACTTTCATCTTCAATTCTGGTTATACGAATGCAGTGGAGTAAGGGGGTAGCCACTGGTACCTTTTAGTAAGAGTAACCATGGCTCTTATTTATGAATTTTTTTTTAAGATTTATTTTATTTGAAAGGCCGAGTTACAGAGAGGCAGAGGCAGAGAGAGAGAGACCAGAGAGCGAGAGAGAAAGAGAGTAAGAAAGAATGAGAATCTTTCATCTGGTTCACTGCAGTGGCTGGGGCTGTGCTGATCTGAAGCCA